GGAAGCTGTATTTATCTGACTTCTCTACTTGGGGGGGAACCCTGTGTGGTGCGTGGTGCCCCCTCCTCCCCAGCGGGAGCAGTCAGAGCCGCGTCGGGCCCGTTTCAGAGCAGCAGTCACTCAACACATTTTTAATTGATTTGCATTTTACAGTAGGAATGTAAAACCCTGCCGATGCCCTGCTAGATGGGTGGCCGCCGGAGCGGCGACAAGCCCTGCCGAGGGCTCCCTCTTCCTCCGCCTGCCCGGGGCCAGAGCGTGAGTCATGGGCTGTGCCGGGAATAGATGGGAGATTCCTGCCGGTGCCCCGTGTTTACGCCGCCGCCGCCTCACTGTTTTGGGAACCGTAACCAAGCAAAGTCTCCCCGCGGTGACGCCGGCTGGGCTCGAGTGAGCTCTCTGGAGAGGAGAGGGAGCCATGGCCCGGTGCCGCGCAGAGCCGAGAGCCACGGATTTTGGGGCTGGAGCCTGTCTGGAGAACAGCAGGCGTGGTATTGGACTGTGATCTCAGCTCTCCTGCGGCCCCTGGTCCGGCATCCCGCAGGGAAGGAGGGCTCCTGACCCGGTTAAACTAACGAGGGCCATCGTTGTAGGGTATATCCATGACGCAACGACGGCGTGACTCCCCTGTACGGCATGCATGCCGGCACGCCGAGGGTGTGCCCGGGGCAGGTGCCCTTTTGCCACGGGTGCTACCCCCAGCCCCGAGCCTGAGATGCTGCAGGTGCTTAAATGCGCTTTGGGGGTCCGAAGCCCCCTCCAAACAGCCCTGGGGGGCGCCCCGGGTCTGTGCGTCGCGCCCAGCAAGCCCTGCGGTGCGGTTCACTCCCAACCCAATCGCCGTGTTGCCGAACGGCTCGTCGCCGGTTCCCTGCATGTCTGGCAGCTGACTCTGTGCAGTGGCACGGTGCCGTCCCCAGGCGTGGGACACCTTAACGTCACCCGCTTGGCTGTGACGGATCTCGATCCCCGAAGGAGGCCAGGCAAGGGGCCACGATTCCTGTGGCTCCCTCCTCTTTTCGGCCAGGCGTGCGACTCCCCGCAGCTCTCGGCGCAGAAGCGAAGCTGTGTGTGCGGCTGAGAGCCGGGTGATGGCAGAGCGATGAGGAACTTCCCCGGGGGGGCCGTAACCCGGCACGAAACCTGCTGAGACGAGGAGGGTGAGCCCCGCGTCGGCCGCTGAAGCCAGTCTGGCGAGGGGCGC